CCTTTGTTTTCATTTCTTTAGAAATTATATTGATATAGATTGTCATATGTCAATTTAGGGACTTTTATTTTAGAATTTTTTATGGAATAAATAACGCCCAGTAGGGAAAACCCTTTTGATGAGACCTTTTTGAACAAAGAAAGGTTCCTAGCAACCTCCACCCTAAGGCCTCTGAACATAGCTCTACCTGTCTAAACCCTCTTCAGTCTGCCCAGATCCCCTTCTCCACAACCCATCGCCCATGCGGTTTTCCAGGCTCCAGCCCTCCTCTTGGTGGGAGCACACAGGGCAGAGGGACGGCGGGAGGATCGGGCTCTCCTTCCTTCCCCAGAACTGCCTATGGCCCACACACCACGTATTTGGCACTTCGCAGCGCTCACCGCTTAGCCTACCCTGTGTGTGAGAGGAGGATCTCTTAGACAAAACTCAACTGTGAAGCTTCCTGCCCCAGGTGAGGAAACTGAGTCCCACCTGCACCTCCTACAGCCCGCAGGCCTTAAAGAGCAGCAGGCTCCAGCTGCTTTGTGGATGGGAGGACTGAAGCCCAGAGGTCTACCCTGGGGCCGAGGCCCATGATGTCAGCTACTGAGCACGTAGTTGCCTGACTCTAGCTCTTCCCTTCTCCCACCTGCCCGGGAGCTGGGGCCAGGCTCTGCTCCTGATCTGAATTCATGCAGAGCCTGTCCATTCTCAGCCCGGGATCCGTTCTTTATGATTTATCCTCCTAACGGAGACTCTTGGATTGCATGGAATTGTGATTCGATAAAGCCCTGAGCAAAGGGACTGAGGTCAGCGAAGAGGGTCAGAACCCTATTGTGTCCTAAGGCTTATGGAGCTCTAATTTGGTCTAAAAATAAACCCCTTTCCAGTGTGAGTGCAGTGAGGGCCTTGCCTAGCTCCCGGCCTCTCTTCTGTAGGCCCCACTTGGCCAGTTAGTGAAGTGGTGAGGACCCCCCTCCCCCAATAACACTTTTAAAGCGAACCACACACTTGGCCTTCGGGTCAAAGATTTTTTTTTAAAAGATGACAGATATTTAGTGCCATTAGCAAGCTGTATTCTGGGCAGCTTTCCATTTTTTTTTTCCTGATAAAAAGTGAAATAAATGAAAACAGTGCTTTAAGAAAAATCTATACGTGAGTGGGAGCCAGTTGTCAGTTGCCCCTTCCTCCTCCCCGCCTCCCTTCACTGACTTCATGAGGCTCTGAGTTGAGAAGCACTCGCTGAACACAGCTGGTAGCATCAGGCCTTTAAATAGCCCTTCCCGACTTCCCCGCCAGGCAGCAAGCAGCCTGCCCCGCAGGGAAAGCCCGGGACACAACAGGAAGCTTCGGAACTTTCTGAGAGGGAAAGAACCCGTGTGCCCTCTTGCCAAGGCCTTTCTGTGTAAGTGGCTTGCACCACTGCAGCCCCCCTTTCCCGGAAGCTTCTAAGGAAAAGGCGAGCTGACAAGGTTTGCTTTGGGACCTCCCGAAGCAAAGGAGCTCCCCCCAGAGCCGACCCCTGCCCCTGCTCAGGCCAGACCAGCATCAATTCCATCAGCAGCAGCACCCTTGGCTCAGCGGGCACCTATTAAGCCTGTGGTATGGAAGAACTGTGGCCTCTCCCCCTAATGACCTCTCCTGTAACGTGGGGAAGGGATACCACTCTGGCTTCCCCAAAGGTGGGTGGGTTACATCCCACAGTGCTCTTCAGCATAAAGCCAGTGCAGAGGAGGTTGGTAGCAACTGCCTCCCCCCAGCTCTGACCCTCTGAAGAAGGGCCACAGGCTCTGCCCCAGCCCCACCTTCACAGTGCTGGGAAAACAGCGGCAGGGCCCACATGTTAGCAATGAATGGCTGCCCACACTGGGCAGTGTTTTTCCCTCACGTCATGCCGTGCGAGCATCACATCAGGTGGGCTTATCACCCCACCTCACTTCTCTCACCTGCTCAGACTCGCCCCAGGCCTAGGGCTCTCTCTGCCCCATTACAACCTTCCCCTACCTTGTGCATTAAGGGAGTCGTGGCGTAGTGTGGTCAGTGGGTAAGGACTTCAAAGATCAGAGGGGGTGGTGGTTTGGCTGGCTTGGGGCGTGAGGATCAGGAGTGGGTGGAACAAGGTGCGTTATCTTTCTTTTCCACCCATTGTTGGCTAGTTTGAGATTTGAGAATGGGCTGAAGGTTTTTTTTAAGTTTGCTATAGGGAATATTCTTCTGCTCACTGGAGGCAGAGGGTGAGTGGCCCCCGGGGGGATGGCCAACCACAGTCCCTTCTCCTTCATTCTCCTTTCAGAATTTTGGGCTTGCAGGAAGCCTTTCTTTGACAGCTTTCTGGGGCTACCTCTCTCCCACCTTCTTGAAGACCGGTGGCCAGCAGTAGTTGGGTTAAACCTGAGTTAACTAAACGAGTACTGTCTATGGACCATGTGCCGGAGCAGGCTCGGGGGTCACCGGGAGGAAGATACACTCCTGCTTCCAGGGGCCAGCAGTGCAGCCTGGCAGGTTAGACATGTGCATGTGTGACAGGTGCCACAGAAGGAGCACAGAGTATCCAATGCAGAGAGAGAAACTTCTGGAAGAAGGACCTTTGGCCTAAACTTGAATAAAGCCCAGAGGTGGGAAATGGCAGCATGTGAAAGAGTGAGTGGTCAGAACTGGGTGCCCAGGGGTGGGGTGGATACATACACTGCACCATGGGTGGCCTTGGGAGTCTGCACCGTGACAAGCCCTGGGTGCTCAGATCATGTGCAATAGGGAGATCTCACCTGCAGTTTTTCTGGGGAAAGGATCTGTAGCTTTCCTAGCTTCTCAGAGCTAGGGAAAAACGTAATAAAGGAAAAGGGTACCTTTTTAAAATGTATACATCTTGGAGCCAGATAGTGAGAATGCCAGGCTGAGCCTGGGAACAGTTAGGTCCTTTTCTGGCAGTGACAGAGACCCAAGAACCCATCTAGGTGTAGCAGAAAGACAACGGAGGCCTTGGGTCCACTGGGGAGCAGGCTTCTGCAGCAGTTCTGTGGAAAGATAAGGCCAGGAGCTGAAAGATGGGTGGGGGCAGAGCAGAGAAGTTGGAGGATGAATTTGCTGCAGGCGTCAGGGAGAAGTGTAAGCAGACTGAGAAGGGACCTGCGGGGCCTGTGGCAGAGGTACAGGTTAGCCCGAGCACTTTCAAATACCTACCCGTGATGAAACTGCACGTGGAATTACAGAGCAGCAGCCAGGCCAGAATGTTCTACAGTGGGACTGGAAATGTGGGGCTGGAAATTTGGGAGGGAGGAGAGGGCTGGAGACCCAGGTTTGGAGTGCTCCACTACAGGGGCCCTAGGCCTGAGGGTGACTGTGACCTCGCCCAGGGCCTAGGGCGTGGAGAGCAGAAAAGAGCCCAAGGAAAGATTCCATCTGGGAGTGGGAGGGAGGAGCAGGGACCGGAAGAGAGGGCTTGGAGATCTGTGGTGGGAGATGCCACTGAGGTTATAGGGAGCAGCTTTCAGAGGGGGAGTTAACATGCAAATGCTGCAAGGAACCCCACCCCAAACCCCCCCCCCACCTGCTGTCGGGCATTCAAAGTAGCAAAATTGGAAAGAGGGTTGCAGTTGATGTTAGGGGACTAGGGCAGTCAGGTGTCAGTCACTGCATTACTCTGATCTAGAGGTGGTCCCAGGTCTTGGGGTTGGGTCGGGCTCTTCCCCTACACTACAGGACCCCTGTTTGCGGAGTTGGGCTTCCTGGACGGTTCTCTGGTTTCCTCTCCTGGTGGTGGGGGTGCCCTGTGGCTTCTCACTCCAGCCTCCCAGTTAGCTCCCACACTCCTGTTTAGGCTCTTCTGGCCTCCCCGAGCCTGCAGCTGGAGAGCCAGCCAACTTAGACTGTCTTCAATAAAATAGACTGGGAGGCTCCTGAAGCCCAGAGGCCTCTGCAGGTCTGGTGGTGACAGAGCTTCTGGGTAGTCTCTTCTGATTCTGGTCACCTCTGGAAGGCGTGATTGCTGGGTGAGCCATTAGTGGATATGAAAGTGTGACTATGATTGCATGGGAGTCAGAGTTGGGGGGGCAAGCCCAGGCGCCACCTCGCCTAACCAGCTCCCTTCCCCACCATGTTGTACTTCACCCCAGGTGTTCTGACCATAGTCTTAGCTCCCAGTTCACAACCACCCTCTGCTCCTGCTGTGTCCTCTGCCACCAGCCTGGTCCACCACTCCTTCCATTGACTGCCTGGATGGTGTCTGCAGCCCTCCGTAGATGCCCTCATCGCCCAACGTGGCTTCACAAATGCATCTGCCTCCTCTAAACCGCAAGCTCCCATGTGGCAGGTGCCAGGTCTGGGTCATCTCACTGCTCCTGGCACTTCTGTGGTGCCTGGCACAGAGTGGGCTCAGCACATGCACACCTCCCAGTGTGGAATGTGCCCCCATGTCAACAGATTTGAAATCTGGTGTCACAAAGGCTAGTGGTCTGCCTCAGATCCCTCCACCAGTCTTCAATGACCAGAGAAGACTCTCTAAATACCCAGCCTGGCCTTCTCTCAGGTAGACCAGACTCCAAATGTGAGACCATGGGTCATCAGAAATCCTCCTTCGATCTTGGTCTGCTCGAAGTCAAGGGTTCAGTTGAGTGCAAAACACAAACACTCCCTTCCCCCCCTGCCCTGCTACTGGAGATCACTGACGTAACTGGGAGGCTGAACAGGTGACTCTGTCTCATAGCTTGGTTCTGGCCCCTGCTTTATCGTAGAGAAGGGCAGCAGAACCTGAGTACTGATGACAGCCTGTAGCAGTTGGCAGCAGGAAGGTCTGCGTGCAGGCCCTTTAAATGTCCGTGAGACAGAGCGCCATGGTAAACTGCATGTACCTCCCTTGGAAAAATCCAGAGGGCTTCGCATCAGCAGAGGAGGAAAATCCAACCCGAGATGCATGAACAATAAATAACAACTGTTCTGAGTTAGGTTGAAAGCTCTGAGTTGCACTTTTTTTCAAGTTGTTTGTGCTAACCACAAATTTTTTTCTCTCCCCTCTTTCCCACCAGGGCTTATTTCAAAACCTTTGTCCCTCAGTTCCAGGAGGCAGCATTTGCCAATGGAAAGCTCTAGGAAACACCAGTGTTGAGAAGTGGCCAGCCAGACTGCTCTGTCCACATGCGTGTCAGCACACACGGCTGCTTCCTGGCAGCCTCCTGGAATGTCTTCACAGCGGCGTTCTGCTCACACAGCAGCTTTGCACGCCCCGGGCAGCCTGGACTCTGCTGGAACCCAAGCTGAAGCTGGCTGCTGGTAACCTGAGTCCTAAGCCCCTCACTTCTGGTTGCTCCTTTCTTTCCTTCATTACATTTCGTATTTGGAAGAAATAAACTCACAAATTATGATGCAGTAATTTTCCGGAGAAAGTAAGACATCATGAATGCACACACCCTTCTGCCAAAGCCCTTGTCTCTGAGACTTCTTTTAAGTTTTAAGATTAAACACTCCTTGGCTCCCCACACCCTGCAAAAACCAAAAAGCTTGTGTGTGTGTGTGCATGTGCGTGTGCATGTGTTTTACAGCCCAGCATTTCCCACTTGGGGCAGTCCACCATTGGGAAAGGTTGCTGCCTGAGTGTATCTGACCAGCCTGCAGGGTTTCAGCTGCTTGTCACACAAGGCCCAAGGCGGGCACTCAGAAGCTAGTGGGCTCTAGCACTCACCTCCATCCCTTCCCCTGTAGCCCCTGTGTGAGCACTGTGTGCACAGCCCATCCCCAAACCACAGGCAGTCAGGAAAGTTTGCTGAGCGCCAATGACCAGTCTTCCCCTCTCTGCCCATCCCTGCCCTGGGCTGCTGGGAGAGCGCTTTGGGCTAGTGTGGATTGTATCTGAAAGACAAAGGCGGGGTGTCCCTTTATCTGCTATCGGGGCTCAGACCTGGCAGCTCTGCAGCCAGCCAAAAACAAGCTGGGGAAGATTCCTGAGCTCCTTGGCCGTAGACTTAGAGATGATCAGAGCTGGAAAGGCCCTCAGAAGTCGTCTGGTTTCCACCCTACCCCCACCCCCGGCCCCTGCTACTGCCTTCAGTGTGCAGAGGAGAAAACTAAGGCCCGAGAGCTCCAGAAGCTCTCACAGAAAATTAGGAGCAAATCTGGAAGTTGGGAGCCAGGCCTCTTTTCTTTTTTTTTTTTTTTTTA